TTTATATATGACAAAGTTAATTTGATGTCATTTATACATTCTCTCACTGTTGGAGGGCTGGGGGGCATCTATCTTTTAGCAAATACTTTTCTTGTAATAAAAACATCATTGGAAACAATGTGAGTATTGCAGTTGGAGTTGCTTTTTAGGCTGGAGAATACATTACTGTATTTCCAGTCCAAACTGGAGTTGGGTTTCAAATGTAGAGCTGCATCGATTAGCCTTTAGAGTTAGACTGGTTGCAAAAATGACTTTGCCTAACTACTAGAAATTTAGTATTTTATAGATTTTGGGGTACAAAATCAAATACATTAGTTATATCTAATGGTATGTATGGTAACTCTCGGGTCCCTGGGACATCTTCTCACTGTAGCTTGCAATTAGGTGGGCCATGCAAAACACTGACCACAGCCATCTGTCGAGCATTCCCACTTTCAGTCCCGATAGAAGCATGAAACCCTGCCGTGCACATAGTGTGGGCTGCAAACGTGCACCTGACTTCAACTCCTGAGTTTCCGTACCTCTATATGGGAATGTTGAATTCTGCTGTGCAGTTTCATTCTGGTTGCTTAGGGAGACAGAATTCAGAGTAGGGAGTGCCAACAACACCTCCCTGACGACTAAATTCTAGTTCGCCTATAACAGGTACAATCTACAGACAGGCTGTTTGCTGACTGTACTTTCAAGGTTCGTGGCATCCATATGTCTAACTTGCATTAATGTGACTATTTACTATGTTAACTCTTCATACCCCATGTGTTAATGACCCAAGCTGTAGACAAGTGTGAACCCCTTTGATTAACTTCAGAGCAGGGAAAAGGCAAAGTGTAAACACTTTACTGGTTAAACTGGAACAGTACAAAATCCAAAAGAACTTCAAGAGGACAGTCCATTTTTCCTAAGTCCTTAGTCCCTAATCCTAACCAGACTATGTGCTGTCCCAGCATACCTGCAGAGGTGAGTCCATGTAGTTGCAACATCCAGCAGAGGCAAGTTCCAGAAGTTGGTCTCTGCAGGGCAAACCCCAAGTCTTGTTAAGGTGTTGAAGATAGTTTTGCCATCCCTACACCTTTCCTAGGTGTCAATGTCTTTGGGTTCTGGGGAGATGGCTAAGGCCAGGAAAGTAAACTGGCTTTCTTTTACAGTGGGTCCTACAGACTCTTGGCCACGGCCAAGGAGACAGGCCACCAGCCGCCCATGCTTTAGCAGCTGGATAGAGGATACATCTTGTTGGATGTCTGTGTGTGCTCTCTCCCATGCAGACTGAACCAGTCTGAGCAAAGCCCTCCCTCTTTTATACTAGCATAGGGAGAGAGAGGCAGAGCTCAAAGAAAAAGCAGGAAAGAAGTTAACCCCTTCCCTCCTGGCCAGAGCAGTACCTATCTAGTTAATTCTAACCCGCTTATATTTTCACCTTTGGAGCATGTTATACCTATATTTAAGGTGTAAAATATAACATGCTCCAAGCCCCCTCACCCCTGAGCGCCCCCTTTCCTGTGACACTGGGCAGCTTTGCCCACACAGCCACGTAATTATTCATAGCAATCTGTGAATTAGAAAACTACAAGTCTCCTCTACCACTGCCGCAAACTGCTTGTAGTTCTCAATGAACTGTGAGGGAGCTGATGAGCACATTCTTAGTTCATTCACAAGCCCTGCAGCTTTAACACTGACAGCCCATATGGAGGTACCAGCCTAAAGCTGTAGGACTCTACAGGTCTGCAGGAGCCTAACATTGCACTCACTATCCACTGATCATGGGTGTAATGCTTTGCAAGCAGGGGGAAAAAATAACTGCACTTATATTTTCTGAAAAAAAAATGCCATTTATTATTTTTTCCCCAAGGATGAACAACTGAAAAAAGTTGCACCGCTCAACCGGACTCATTCTTCCCTCACAGAATTCCCAGAATTATTGACCAACAATTCATTGCAATCTGTGAATGGGCAGGAGAGCTTCTGTCATTCAATGACGCCTCCTTCATTCACAGAATGCAATGCAATGACATAATGTGTTTTGTGTATGGTAGAGAAGACATAAGGGGACAGGTGGTATCACAACTTTTCTCAGTTACAGTGGTTGTTGTTAACCTTCACAGTGCCAAAAAACAGCCCTTCAGGGCAGTATATAGCAGCTATGAAGAAGGCACAGCAGGAAAGATTTTTTGCAGAAGCAGCTGCCAACAGGTAAAGGGAGCACATTTTCAGCAAGTACAGATCTTGCCAGAAATGCAGTGCCCTTATCACTTCCGATGAACTTAAGGCACTGTTCACACCTGTGCAGTGTATGTGTGTTTTAGGTGAACGTATGAAAAGAGTCCGCCATGCTACATTCTTTAGAGTTTAATGATAACACTCCTAAACCGCATGTAAAACATGCTTAAAGCGCAATGCACTGCACAGATGTAAACCAGACTAAACAGAAAACAAAATAATCTTGATGTAATGGAGATGGACAAAGACAGGCATGTTTAAAGTTCAGATCACAAATTCATCCACCCAATTCCTTCCATCCAATTCAGCACCAGACTCTTTTTGTTTTCTTAGATGGGAGTGCACAGCTAACAGTGACACCATCAATCACCATTTCAAGAAAAAGACCAACACTAAACTAATGAACCTCAAGATTTTAATAAGGTCATATTGCAAGAGCAATGTGGTTGTTTTATGGCTTACTCTGCATATTTCCACATTGTTTTGAGGTTCATTGATTAACTGTTATTTTTTTCCTTCAAATGTTTAAAGTCCAGCCAAGGCGACAACCATGGCTGTCTCCATTAATGCAGTTGAGGAGTGAGTGTTGTCATCCTAGACCAGGAAGTGTGTTATTTTATCACATCTAGGGACTGGTAATCTGTAATATATTTCAATTTTGTTTGTTTGTGATTAAATATGCTTTAACAACAAGTGAACACACATTGTTTTTACAAGTCAGTCGATTCATAGATGTGCATTGTAAGAAAGAGTAATAAAGCACAACCATGCCCATGTATCAAGAAAATATATATATGATAAGTATATATATATATATATAGTATATTGAATCAAAATCTACATAAAAAAAAACACACAATTATTACAACATATTAATAAGAATATTTACAACATATGAATCTTTTTGCAGATTTATCTAAAAAAAAAAACATTAGATGACTATACATTCTCTTTATGAAGGATATGTCTGCTGTCTTAGCTATCTATTCCTCACTTCTTCAGATTATAGATAGAACGTTGGAACAATAAATAAAGCAGATGTCCTCAGGAGGTGTAAGCATACCAAAGTAAAATAGCAAGCACTGCGTATTACCATTGGAGCGATTATGGAAGATGAATTGGCAGATGATTAATCTTATTGACAGATATTTAATGTCACAGTTGTAGAGGTGGCCTTTACTGAATGGACTGGCAGACAGCAGACACCTTTTTAAAGCATTGCTTCATGATCAGGTAAAAGGGAAATTATTCCTCTATCCCCATGCAGAAGCATTGCCTGTAGGAAATGTAGATGTGACGGAGGTAGCATATCACCAAAAAATGGCAAATGGTTTGCGCACAGATTTTCTAAAAGGTTGTTTCTATCTGGCAATGTACAAACTGAATACACTTTAGATTTAGTGAACTGGCTGCATGTTCATACTTTAGCATAGATGTAGTGTTTCCTGGATGACATCAGCAGTTCACTGATTCAGTTTCTTTGTTGCTTAGAATTGTACTTTTACTTGGAATAGTTCAAAATTTGCAGGCACGCAGATGTATTTTCTTTAGGAAATTGGTACTTCTTGCAAATTTACTAATATGTCTTTTAATTTTTTTCCCTTTTCCTTGTCCTCTGGCCTGATCTTACCTTCCTTCTTCCCCTCCCTTCCACCAATTTTTTCCTCTCTTTTTGTCCATACTTTCTTGCCTCTTACCTTCCTCACTATTACCCTCTCATTTCCCTTTCTCTTCTTTCCTTCCATGCCTTCTTCCCTTCTTAATTTCTTCTCCAATTCCTTTCCCTCTATTTTTCCATCCTTCCTTTCCTTTTTTTCTTCTTCCTTTATTTCCCTCCATGCCTCCATTCCTTTTTATTCTCTCGTTCCTCCCTCCTTTATTTCTTCTCCTACTGCTCCCCCCACCCCGCCCCCCCATACTTCCTTACTTTTCCTTCCCTTCCCTATGTTTTCCTCTTTTATTTCCCTCCATGTTTCTTTTTCCTTCCTCCATCCCACCTCTCCTTTCATGGTTCCTTCCTTCCTGCCACCCATTTGACCTTCTCTCTCATTATATTTTTTTCTCTCTGTTTCCTTCTTTTCTTATGCTCTCCTTTCCCTCCATTCTTCTTTCCTCCCTTTCTTTCTCCTTCCCATGTTACCCTCCCTTTTTTTCCTCCTTCTTACCTTCCTTTTCAACCTACCCTCCATTCTTTTTTTCTTCCTTGCTACCCTCCTTTCCAACTCATGCTCCCTTCTTTTTTTCTTTCTTCCTTCCTGCCTACCTTCCTTACATACTTACCCTCCCTTCTTTTTTTCTTTTTTCCTACCTTCCTTTCCAATGTACCCTCTGTTCTTTTTTACTTCCTTCCTACCTTCCTTTTCTCCATTCTTTTTTTTACTCCTTTCTACCTTCCTTTCCAACTTACCCTCCCTTCTTTTTTTTCTTCCTTCCTATCTTCCCTTCTAACTTTCCCTTCCTTCTTTTGTCTTCCTTCCTAACTTCCTTTCCTCTGTTCTTTTTTTACTGCTTTCTACCTGCCTTTCCAACTTTCCCTTCCTTCTTTTTGTCTTCCTTCCTAACTTCCTTTCCTGTTTTCTTTTTTTTTCCAACCTACCATCACTTTTTTATTTCCACCTTCCTACCTTCCTTTCCAAATTACCCTCCCTTCTTTTTTTCTTCCTTCCTGCTTTTCCTCATTCTCTCCCTTCTGTTTTTTTATGCCTCATTCCCTTCTTCCTTTCCCGCTATGCTTTTTTCCCCTCTGTCTCTGCTTCCCTCCCTGTTCTTTCTTATTCTTTCCTCAGTGGTCTGCTCAAAATGCAGCAACCGGCAATGGGTCTTGCAATTCACTGAAGGGTCCACCATCTCCATGAAAGATGCCATCAGAAGGCACAGTTTGAGATAGAAGCTTCCAGATGGAGCAATGCGTGAGCGCTGGCTTTTCAAGCTGTTTGCGTTTTTGTCACTCCAGAGAGGAAGAGTCGCCCGGATGCTACAAGATATAACTTGGGATTGTTCATGAAAGTCATTGCACAGGAAATCAAGGGTGTAACCCATAACAGTCAATCACATGTAATTTTTCTAGCTGTGTTAAAAAATACATTCCAAAAGGGTTATTGAATCTTACAGATTTCCTGCCTGTGCACTGGTTTTCATTATGAGGTCTGTCCATTCCAAACTGAAAATTCAATTGTGGATAAATACTGGCAGGTTGCTCGACCTTCCAACTTTTAATATCTCTCTGAAACTCTGGCAACAAAATGTACAAACCTGGGTCTTGACTCCGTCCACTGGCTTTGGCCAGTATGAGGTGTCTCATCATGTCTGTAGAATTTTTCACAACAGAGAGAATACATTGAGGGTGAAGCTGGAAGAAGATCTTGAAGCTGGAGTCTCCATGAGATACAAAAAGCAAGTGGGATATTCAGCCCACCACTATCCACCCATAATGTCCTTATTATTTTTGGTGGACTGTCCCGTTAACATCCCAAGACATGTTATTTGTTATTTTGTTTCAATTCACAGTTTTTTTTTCCTTTTTTGGCTCATGATGACATCACTAGTTTTGGAATGTTTTTTAATGGCATGCCGCTTAGATCTACATATATTCCCTGATCACATCATTCTGTATGGGCTGTGTTGGTTTGGTCTAATATTGGTTCATGCTCCATTAATGATTACCTTGCCTTCTTCACTTTCTTCTTTCCATATGTTCTGTTCTGTTTGATATTAAGTCCTCCTGATGTCATTTATGGTTCTACATCCCCTTGACTGCTTGCAATGCCAGTAGAGGTGAACTTGCACAGTGCAGATAGCCTGTCAGCATCATCATTGAGCTGTGGTTGGTCAGCCAGGGCTGGTTCAATGGTCTAGACCGCAGGGGCAGGCAAATGTGGGCCCTCCACCTGTTGTGGAATCACAAGTTCGCTACACCTCTGCCTTTGGGAGTAACGCTTATGGCTGTCAGCGCCCTACAATGCCTCATGAGAGTTGTAGGTGCCAAAACAGCTGGAGGCCCAAAGTTTGCCTCCCGCTGGTCTAGAGAATAGTAAATGTACGAGTTTTATTACCAGCTGTGGGCAAGTACGTAAACATTTTAGTTATAATGACGAATCTCAAAGCATTTAGGTCAATCTATCCTATCTAAAACCAAGTAAAGTAGAGACAAAGCAAATTAAAAGAAACACTTACAGATTACATGCATATTTCTACCTGTTTTTTTCCTTTCAAAGAATAATACCTGTTGATCTCCCAAAAGTGCATTCAGATCTTAAACCCTGTTGTGGTTTGACAATACACAGCATTTTTGTAGAATGAGAGGAGTCAGCCCTCCCCATTGTCTTTTGTGAAACTGCTCAACCACTACCAGTCTCTAATCTCCACAATATAATGGCTAGTTATTCTGTAGTCCAAAAGCTAGAAGGGCTAAATAAACTCTTTAACATAACACAGGAAGAGTACAAGAGACATATTTAAAAATTGTTTACACCATTCAAACAGATATAATAGAATGGTATATTTAATAGGCTGAAAGAAGCAAAAAAAAGTTTGTGGCTAGGGTTTGTATGTATGCATATTGCTGTATTGGACTTTCTGCGATCCTATGGACAAGTTTTCTGGGCACCATATCTGCCTTTTCCACAGGAATTTCTTGGCAGTTTTTTATGAGGTGTGTCAAAAGAACTTTCCTCAACCTTCCCCAATAGTTTCGGCATGCATAATGTGATAACACATGTGCAAAGCCAGTTTTTACATGCATATTAGAGCCTATGAACCTTCCAACACATCTTTGGAAACCCAGCAAACAAAGGAAGAACATGGAAACTCCACGCAGACAGTGTCCTGGCCAATATTCAATCCAGAGACCCCAGTGCTGCAAGGCACAATAACTACAGTAAGCCTCTGTACTATTCTTGTATTGTTTTTCATACGCATTGACAGTTTATGGTTCCATAGATCGTGTAGTCTTTCTGGAGTTGGCTTATTGTTTGTGACGCAGCAAGGAAAAGAAGCGGGTAAAGGAAGTGAACAATACTATTGCACAAGGTCATCAATCACCTTTAAAAGTGAAGTATGGCCAAAGCTTTTTTGTCATACTTCTCTTTTGGGTCACAGGAGTGCACTTTTTGTGCACAGCACAGAGCCAGACAAGATTCTGGAAGGATCCCCACAATAATGTGGGGATCCAGCCAGATGCTTGACCCGCTGCTGGCTCATCCTCTTAGTGCATGGGTGAGAGCTGTAGCCAGGTGTTTCCACCCCCTCTGGTGCCTATCGCTCCACTGAGTGGTAAAGGGTAGACCAGAGAGCAGTGACTGACATCCCTCTTTGCTTAGAGAAGACCAATTTGAAATTCAAAATCACAGCAGAGCACACTGCGATTCTGCCATGATTGTCATGCAACAGAATCACGCAGCAGTTGCGGCAAAACATATGCTTAAAAATCACACTAAGCTTGTCACCCAAGAAAGAGTAATAGCTTCTTTAGTGCAACAAATGCTTCTAGGGCAGCCCTTTGAAATGAATGGGCTGCCCTATGCTCAACAAGCATTTCCGCGTGTAAATCATGCTTTAAAAATTGAGGTCTGAATGGGGCCTAACTGTAAGTGCTGTCATCCACTTTGTTCTGCTGTGTGAGGAGCTGTGGAAATCTCAAAACTGGATGAACAGAAACACAAGTCCTTTACAAAACAGTGTCCATCTGTTTATTTAGCTACTTGTCCTATCTATGTTCTTATATGATATGATTTCTGCACAATTCCTGTCTATATGATCGGAACAGGAAGTGTGAAAATTTCTTCCCCCATTTCTGCCAATTTTATAGCTGACAGACAAATAGGAAATATAGGAAAATTTCTCTAATGAAAACTTAGCGATAAGGTGAGAAAGGTTTAGAACATCTCCCTGGATTATTTTACTGATTGTGTCCCCACGTGGGGGATTTCCCTTGACTTCCTGTTCTATAGATGATGGCAGACAGAATAGGAAGAAAAGACTAAAAAACAAAGGCTTTGGTTATGCTTAGGCTTTAAAGCTAGACTTTAGTGATTTTTTTTAAATTTATCATGAATGAATGAAGGTGTATGCTGGTGGTTGTTGTGTTCATTTGCTCACAATTTGAAGTCCTTTGCCCCCTGTTAACCCCACAGTGGTGATCTTCTGGTGCTGTGGGGGTTAATATCATCAGCTGCGGATGTGACAGGCACTCATCAAGTACCAACTTTACCCAATGAAAAGTGTTCTATGAATAGAGGAGGCAGGCCTTTAATTCATCTGCCAGTCCTCCGATCATAGATCACCTTTTTTAACAAAAAAAAAAAACTTTTTTTTTTTGCTCTTTTTTTGTATTTTAACTAAATTTCAGCTTTAAGGAATTTGTTTAACTTATTTTCATCTTGTAAATGAGCCAACTATCACTCAGCATCATCATTTTGGATTCTCTGTATATATGTTTTCACATAACTTTCTCCTAAGATTCACACATTTTTCTTATTGTATTCAATAGGAAAAAGTGTGTGAATTCTGGGTGAAAGTTGTGTAAATCTTTTGTGAAAAAATGCATTAATTGATCTAGGATTCTTACAATATTCTTTTTAATTCTACAATGATTCTATTGGCAAATAGATATTTTTTTATCAAAACTGCAAATAACCGCTTAGAATTGATATTTTAATCCAGGAAAATACATTTTAAGTAAGTATCTAATTGGTTGCTCTGGTTTCTGCATTGTGCAAGCTTGCCCCTAGGTTGGGTAAATAACACCCAAGAAAGAACACTGTCAGTAATCTCACACAATATGGAAAGCTTGTCCAGATTCTACTGTGTTGTAAGTGATGCATGTTTCATCCTCATACGACATATGAAAGAAGATATAATGTACCGTTACAGATTTTCCTAAATTTTATATAAAGCGTCAGTCTGAGAAACACATATTGTACGTCCTGAGTTTCATTTCTATAGACCTAGTATGTACGATAAATTTGTTCTTAATAAAAGAAAATGATGTATTGTACCCAATGGCTTAGTGTCATTTCACTCTTTGATATATATATATATATTTTTTTTTTTTACATTGATGTACTGCCTACCTCTACAATAGTTTTTATGCTGACAAATGTTTTTTTGAGAAGAGTGAGACTCGATTTTCTAAGACTGAATTTATTTCTCCATACCCTTTGATGTGCCTGAACTCTTCCTCAAAGTAAATTTTTTTGGGTTTTTTTGCTTTCGATAGAGAAGATAAGTATTAGATTAATTGTAAAGGCATGACATTCTTACCTTAATGCATTCCCTGCATAAGGTAAACAATTTTGAAGTTTTTTTAGTCCCCCCTCTAAAATACTTACCTGAGTCCTCGCTCGATCCAGCATTGTGCCTGTCTGTTACGGCTCTCTCCTATCTCCCTGCATTCAGACAGAGAGGCAGCAGTGGGAGCCATTGGCTGCTGCTGCTTTCAATCAAATCCAGTGAGCACAGAGTGGGGCTGTGTGTGCCTTTGAAGACGTGAGACTACACTTCTTCCTATGGTAGTGTACAGGGGCGGACTGACAACTCATGAGGCCCCCGGGCAATAGGGGATCATGGGGCCCCTGTGTCCTTGCCCACACTCAAAAAAGCCTATAAAAAAGGTACCAGGAGCATTTCATGGGGCCCCCTACTGACCCGGGCCCTCGGGCAGTGCACGAGTGCTCGAATGGTCAGTCCACCCCTGGTAGTGTATAGGGAAGAGGAGTCAAGAGCGCCGGGGGTGCCCAGAAGAGGAGGTTCAGGCCCCCTCTATGCAATACCATGAATAAGACTCTTCATTGTAAGCACCCCTGTCAGTGCTGAATGGTTTATCTCATCCCTGTAAGTGACACACCTGCAGGAGAGC